CTACCAGCCCGCGTTGTCCACTCCGTCTTGGTGGAGATTTCCCAGGTTGGTTCCAGGCGCCGTTCTCGATGGGGCGCGCCGCGAACATGAATTCCCAACCCTCCTTGTGTTGGGTGCTCGTTTTGAAAAAGAGAACTGTGGTATCCACCTCCAGCCCTCTCCTCCTCCTTCCCTCCTGTGTTCGCGGTGCCCTGCGGGGCTGCGATCTGCGCAACTGTCGCCACTTTCGTGGGCTCCTGGCTGTCCCCTGCGGGGTTGCGATCTGCGCAACTGTCGCCGCTTTCGTTGGTTCCTGGGAGGCCAGCGGAGGTACGTCTTACGCAAATCATTTTGAGGCCTCCCTGTCCCTTGCGGGGCTGCGACCTGCGCAACTGTCGCCACTTTCATGGGTTCCTGGGAGGCCCAGCGGAGGTACGTCTTACGCAGATCATTTTGAGGCCTCCCTGTCCCATGCGGGGCTGCGATCTGCGCAACTGTCGCCACGTTCGTGGGTTACTGGGAGGCCCAGCGGAGGTGCGTCTTACGCAGATCACTTTGAGGCCTCCCTGTCCCTTGCGGGGCTGCGATCTGCGCAGCTGTCGCCACTTTCGTCGGTTCCTGGGAGGCCCAGCGGAGGTGCGTCTTACGCAGATCACTTTGAGGCCTCCCTGTCCACTGCGGGGCTGTAGAAAGCAATTGTCACTTGTGTAGAAAGGGTCGGGTACGTCGCAGCATAATTTCTTGAATCTGCGCGCGGGGTATCGCGTCTCCTGCAGAGCAACGACAGATGCGTCAATGCTGGCGGAGGTGCTGGAGCGGGAGCGCGGCCCAGTTGGAGCCGAGGCTGACGACGCTCGCACTCGCGAGGTTGGCGAGCTGCGGACAGTCGCCGTCGGCGCTGCTGGGCTCGGCGCGAAGATTCTCGTGCTGGAGGGCATCCGCCGCCCATGGCACGGCGCGGCGTAACCTGTGCGCCTCGTCTCCCGGCCCGTCGCGCGCTGGGAGGGCGGTCGAGAAGCTGGGCTGGACGAGCCCCCCGCGACTTTCCCCCGACGGCTGTCGACGGCGCGGCGGCCCGCCCCCCTCCCAGCGGCAGCGGCGGCAGCAGCGCGCGCGCCCCTGCGGGCGCGCGCCGCGTCGGGCGCCGCCAGGTCGCCAGGCCTGGCGGGCCCGCTCACGTTCTTGACATGCAGTTTCGTCTGGTGCTCGTCGCCGTCGCTGGCGCTCGGTGGCCCAGCGGGAAGGGGGGCGCGCCCCCGCCCTTAGGCGGCCGCCAGCGGCGTCGTCGGGGAAGATGCCTGCGGCGGCCCTCCCAGAACCGCCGCGGGGGCGGCGACGGCTGGGAGCCGCGGCGCCGGGGCGTCGCTCAGCGGCGTGGCCTGCAGGGGCACTGCCTTGTGGCCTCCGAAACTAGGGGCCCCTGAGGGCGGTTCCTTGAACTCGGGCGGGTCGCTGTTGAGGCGCGGTTCGGCAGGGCTGCGGGTTGGGGCCCTGGCGGCTGCGGGCCCGCTTCCAAGGCCGTGCGCGGCTGAGCCCGCGGCGCTGTCAGCCGCGGCGGCGGCGCCGTCCAGCGCTCGGGCGGCAGTCGCTCCCTCGGCGGGCCAGGGCCTGCGAGGTCGCTCGCCGGGGCGACCGCCAGGGCGGGCGTGGGGGCGGGCCCCCCGTCGAGGCCGCCCTGGCAGTAGGCGTCGGCAGCTGGGCGGTCGGCGGGGTTGGCCGGCAGGGCCGCGACGGGTTCGACCGGCGAGACCTCGTCGACGTCCGGTAGCTCCGCTATGTCGGGCAATTCTTCCTCAAGAGCTCGGCCGTGCGGGCTTCTGAGGGGGGGGGGGGGGGGCGCCCGCGCGCTCGGGGCTGGCGTCGGCGGCCTGCTGCGCAGCGCGTTCGCGCTGCGAGAGCGGGCGCTTTTTGAGGCTGGCGGTGGCCGCCGCGCCCTCTCCCGCGCTTCAGCGCGCGGCATGCCGGCCGTCGCGGTCGCTGCGCGGCGCTGCTGAGCGGCCTGCCGGCGGGGTCGACTGCCGGCTCAGAGCGCGGGGCCGCGGGGCCATCGCCGCCAGGGGCGCGCGCGGCTCGACGGGGCGAAGTGCAAGGGCGCGCGGGGCTCGAGGCGGTGGAGCGGCGCCATCTTGCGGCGTTGGGCTGTCGTCCTTGAAGAGACAGCGCCCCGCGCGCTTCACTTCTCAGTCCCCCCTCCTTCCTCCCCCCTTCATCCCTCCTCCCGCCCCTGCCTGCCTGCGCCCTTCGCGGGCCAGACATGTTGGCGCACCCCCCGCGCGTTTCGCGGCCCCCGCTCCGCCGAAGGCCCCGGAGGCGACGTTCGCATGGGTCTCCCCCGCCCATTTCGGCACATCCTCACGTATTCCATAGCCCCACAGTGAGCTCCACCCAAGATCCAGTGGCTCCGTTCGCATGAGTCCCCCCCGCCGATTTCGGCACGCACACGCACACATCGCGCTTTCCGTGGTCCCATGGAAAGCTCCGCGCAAGACCCAATCGGCGACGTTCACACGCGTCCCCCCCGCACCGTGCGGCACACCCGTCGCGCGTCTCGTGGCCCTATGGGGAGCTCCACTTAAGACCCCAGCGGCGACGTTCGCAGTCGCCCCCCGCGGCCATAACGGCACACCCTTTGCACGTTTGGTGGCCCCACAAAGAGTTCGGCGTAGGGCCCCAGCGGCGACGTTCACATGCGTCCCCCTTTATGGAGCTCCACCGAAGGCCCCAATGGCCGCGCCCACATCGCACCGCCGCGCCCATTTCGGCACACCACCCACACTATTCGTGGTCCTGTAGGGAAACCCACCGAAGGTTTCAGCGACATGCGGACCCCGGACCCGTTCGGCCACCCCCCACACATGTTTTGTGGACCCGTAGAGACCTCCACCGAAAGCCTCTACGGCACAGCTCGTGTGCGCCCCCCCACCACTATTACGGCACGCCCCTCGCGCGCTTCGTGGCGTGATCGGCAAATCGATGCTTACAACCGCCGTATTCGAAATTCTAGACGCTTCGCGTATCCCCACCAGCCCGTCCAGAAACGCCGCCCAGGCGAGTAGAGGGTCGTCCTGAGGGTTTTTTCGGCGTCTTGGGTGCCTCGGGGGGGCCTCTTTGGGCCGTTTGGGATCCTCTTGGGGGCCTCCTGGGGGCCTCTTGGGGCCATCTTGGGGCCATCTTGGGGCCTCTTGGTGCCTCCTGGGCGTTTCTTGGGGCCATCTTGGAGGAAATTGATCAAAAAAGAGGGGAGCTTCAATTAGCGCTGCCCCCTCAGAAGGCCAAAATGGGGCCAAAACCTCAGTAAAATCAATGATTTTGGCTTCCTCGGCGAGGCCGTTTTGGACGTTCTGACCGCTCCCCGCCCCCCCTGTCCAGGTCAGTGGGGAGGGGGTCGGGGGAGGGGTAGACCCTTCCCCGAAGGGGAAGAAGGAGGGGTGGAAAAGGAAACTCGTTAAACCACCGACGCCCTAAAGGGCTGGTGGGACTGCAAATGGTTGGGTCCTTCGTCAGGATAGTATGCGAGCCTATAACGTCCGTTCCTGGAGGTCGGCCACCCCCCTCCCCTCCTTTTCCCAGTAACGGTGCCGAGCGTGCGCGGGGGGTGTTACTGGTTTCCGCACAGGCATGGCGCGGTGCTCGCAGACATGCCGTGGTGTTTGCAGGCGTGATTTTGGTGCTGACAGGCATGCTGTGGCGTTCGCAAGCCCGACATTTCCCCTTCCCCCCTCCGTAGCACAGAGAAAGTGAGAGAGAACGCGAGAGAGAGAGAGAGAGAGAAAAAAAAACAAAACACAAAAAGAGAGAGAGAGAGAGAGAGAAACAGAGAGAGAGAGAGAGATAACGACAGAAACGCAACACATGAATAGGCAGGGAAGCAGGCACGCAGGCAGGGAGACAGACTGACCTGAGATCCGACGTTGCGGAATTGGATCCTCGCGAAAAATCACGAACGAAGCCTTCGACCCTCCGCACGCCATTTTATGAGCGGGACCGATGGCCCTTTGCCCGAGACACTGCGAAATCGCTTTCTGTGAAAATATGACGCCAGGACCACATGGGACAGACAGACAGACAGACAGATGGACAGACAGACAGGCAGGCCGGCAGGCAGACAGACAGACTGACAGACACACGCACAGACGGACACACAGACTGACTGACACACACGCAGAGAGAGGCTGCAGAGCCTCGAAGCCGGCGCCAGGCCCGCCGCGAGCGCCGGCGCGGGCCGCCGGGCGCGGCGCGCTACGGGCCCCGCGCTGCTGCCAGTGCGGAGGGCCTTCGGAGCTCGCCTCGGCGCCCCGTGCAGCGGGGGCAGCGCCGCTATGTGAGCGACGCAGAAAATCGGGGTCGGCTGGGCGGGCATTCGGGCGTAAGCTGCCCGCGCAAGGTCTCGCGTAGGCGCCCTCGTTTCTCATGTGGCGTGCCGCGCTGGCGGCCCGCGTGGGTCGCCGCGCAAGGTCGCTATGCCATCTCGCGTAAGACCCGTCGTTCGTCGCAGATTCCCGACGATGTGAAGTTGCCAATCTAGGCGTTGTTCTTTGGTTTCGGCCTCCAGGACCCGGCCGTCATCGGGCCCCGGGGCCATCAGAAATGGATTCGCGGCGACACGCTGGCCCTGGGGACGGGGGGGGGGGCGGGGTCGAAGCTTCTGGGGCCACGCGCAGAAGAAGGAATATCGTCGGATGTCTGCGATGGCGACGCCCCTGGCCGGTCGGCCTCGGAGCCTCGGCAGTGGGCGGCGCCATCCCGAACATCGACGGCGCGGCCCAGGCCCCCGCGAGTCGCGGAAAGAAAGCAACGGGATAGTGACGTTCTGCCTGTCGGTCAGGGCCTTCACAGGACTCCGGGACCGTCACAGAACGACCCAGGACGAGAAAACGGTCGTCGAGAAGGTGTTCCAGACTTCTGGGGGTCCACGTTGTGGAAGGCCGACGAGGCCGCAGGGGATCGCCGCACAGCGCCGTAGCCCTATTTCCTCTTTCGCCTCCTCCCCTGTTCCCTCGTTCCTCCTCCATGAGCCCGCGATGCTCGTGGACGATGGCGTGGCAGTGGGCCCTGGCCACGACATTCTGGAGGAGCTCATGGATGTCAGCTGGACATGGGAGCTTCCTGAAAACCCCACGGCGAAAACCTCAGGGCTGCCGCAGGGAGCATCGCCACAGGCGCTGCAGGCGCCTCGTCCCCCAGTCGAGGTCGGAGGCAGGCCGGGCGCCGTCGCCGCTGCCGCACGGCTGGTCGACGGCGAAGAAACGGGAGGGTTCCACGTCCCGAAAACCTCAGGGCCTCGGGGGTCTGGGTGCCTCGGCCAGGGGCGGCGCCACCCCTCCGAGCATCACGGCCGCCGCCCTCCTGGAACCTCGGGGTGCGGTGGACAGGGATGTGGTCGGGCCCCTGGTGCCCCAAGGCCTCCATATCCGCCGCCCCCTGGGGTCCTGACCCCTCCGATCCGAACAGCCGCCGCCGTGGATAGGGATACGGTCGGGCCCCCTGGTGCCCAGATGCATCCATATGCACCGCCCCCTGGGGCCCTGCAGGCTCAATCCCCCAGGCGGCAGATATGCTTCAGCCCATGCGTCGCGGTCCCGGGCGTGCTAGGTCCTGCGCAGTCACGAGACGGAGGGTCCTTCCCTGCTTGTCGCGCCGTGCGGGCGCCGCTTCAGGGCTGCCGCGACCGTCAACAGAACAACTCGGGATATCAAAGGCCAGCCGTGAGGGTGCGGTCTATAGCGCCTGCCACCCGGGATATCTATATCTATATATGTATATATGCATATATGTATATATGTATATATATGTATATATATATATATACATATATCGGAGTAGGGCCCGGGGGCGGCCCGGGGCGCTGCCAGTAATCTCCATGGGTGGTGCAGGGCGCCCCCGGGAGCGTCCGAAGCGTCCCGGAGGGCCCCTGGGACCGCCAGGAACAGTTCGAGACCGCCCAAGACGGCCCGCGAGCGCTCCAAGACGCGCATAGATAGCCTCAGGAATGGTCAGGAAGGCCCGAAGACATTCCAAGAGAGCTCCATGAGGCCCCGAAGGCATCCCAAGAGGCCTCCCAAGAGATCGCCGACAAGCCCAAATCGTTGATTTTTTTTTCTAGGTTTTTGGCCTTCTCGCTTTTTCGGGGTTCCGACGCTCCAAGACCGTCCAAGAGTCTCCCAAAACCGCTCCAAGACGGCCGAAGAGGCCCCCAAGACCGCCCAAGACGGCCCAAGAGACCCCCAAAATCGTCCCAAGACGGCCCAGGAGAGCCCCAAGATGGCCCAGGAGCCGCCCAAGACGGTTCCAGGAGAGCCCCGACAGGGCTTCAAGACTGCCTAAGCGAGCCCAGCGGGCCCCAAGAGGGCCCCGCGAGGCCCCAAGAGGCCCCAAAGAGGCCCCGAAGAGCCTCCCAGGAGGCCCCGAAGAGGCCCAAAAGATGCCCAAAAATTGCCCTGAGCGCGCCCCAAGACGCCTCCAGGAGAGCCCAACAGGCCCCCGAGAGGCCCCCAAGAGGCCCACTGGAGGCCCTCAGGAGGTCGTCCCCATCATGTTCCCGGAAGGCGGTCTGGGAACATGATTCCGCGCCTTGGAGGGGTATTCTGTTTTCCGAGGCGCCTTGGACGACGTGCGATTCATATTCTTGAACGCTTTCCGGGAACATGATTTCTCACCGTCTCGGAACGCTTTCCTATTGCTGCGGTGCTCTGGGGGGAAGGGACGGGGGTCCGGGAACATGATCGGGAGGTTAAGGAACGAGGGTGTGGAGAGGAGCAGAAGGACAGACGGACGGGGCCCGCAAGACGGCTCCGATACGGCCCAAAACGTCATGGAGAGAGCCTCGATACGGCCCAGCACTACGCCAGAGAGATCCCCCCGATCATGTCCCCAGAGCGGTCCGGGAACATGATGTCCTGCACTGGAGCGGTAGCGACTGGGACACAGCGGCGTCGTCGCCAACGTATTCGTCGCCGTCGCCGTCATCGCCATCGTCGTTGCGTCTTCCGTTGCCCTGGTCAACACCGCGGGGCCTCCTGGGATTTATTTTGGGCCCCTGGGACCTCCAGTCCTGGGGCCTCCTGGGGTATATTTCGTCCTCCTGGGGCTTCATGGGGTCTATCATCCTCTTCGGTTCGTCCTCCCCCAGCCATCCTCAGATACTCCTCCGATCCTGTTCCGGGCGTCATCCTCCGATCATCATTCGCCGATCCTCTTTTCACCTTCCCCTCCACCTCTTTTCCCTTGAGCCAGGGTCACAGAAAGGCACCGGCTTCTCTGCGTGCGTGGACTCTCGGAGCGCGTCCGTCCGCCCTGGGGATTGCAGCGCAGTGGCGAAGACGACGACGACGACGACGACGACGACGACGACGACGACGACGTGAGCGGCGATTGTGACGACGGTGACGACGACGACGACGATAACAACAACAAGCAATAACAACGACAACGACAACAACAGCAACGAACAACAGCAACAACAGCGACAACAACAACAACAGCAGCAACAACAACAACAACAACAGCAGCAACGACAATAACAACAATCATTATAAGACTGTGTGCTCTTCGCTGCCCGCGTGTCATTCAAAATTTACACCCCAAACCCTCGACGCCCGCCTTCTTCGTCTTCGATCGTGCCCCCATTTGGGGGTGTATGTATGTATGTATATATATATACATACATACATACATACATATATACATATATATATATATATTATATATATATATATATATATGAAAGAGCGTGTTCTACCGCTGCTGGCGGAAAACCGGGGGGGGGTTCGAACCCCTCCCCCCCCCCCTCCGGGGGGGGGTCACTACCGGTTCGAACCCCTCCCCCCCCCCCCCGCTCATCATGAAAAGGGGGGGGGGGTCACTACCGGTTCGAACCCCCCCCCCCTTCGAAAACCGAGTGGGGGTGCGGACAGTGGTGGGGACGGTGTTGGTGGGGACAGTGGTGAGGGGACAGCGGGACAGTGGTGGGGACAGTGGGACAGTGGGACAGTGGTGGGGACGGTAGTGGTGGGGACAGTGGTGGGGACAATGGTGGGAACAGGGGGGACAGTGGACAGTGGTGGGAACGGTGGTGGTGGGGACAGTGGTGTGGGGACAGTGGGAATGAGGTGGAAACACTGGGACAGTGGAGGGTACAATGGTGGTGGGGACACTGGTAAAGGCGTCGGCGAGGACGGCGGTGGGACAATGGGACAGAGGTACAGTGGGGACAGTGGTGGGGACAGTGGGGACAGTGGTGGGGGAACAGTGGGACAGCTCAGTGGGACAGCGGAGGAGTCAGTGGGACAGTGGGGACAGTGGGGATAGGCAGTGGTTGGGTCCGTGGAGACAGTGGGGAGAGTGGAACCGTGGTGGGAACAGTTGTGGGAACAGTGGGGACAGTGCGACAGTGGTGGGGGCACTGGTGGGGACAATAGGGACGGTGGTGGAACCAGTGGGGACAGTGGTGGTGAGGACAGTGGTGCTGGGAACAACAGTGGGGGATGTGATGCGAGCGGTGGTAGGGACCGGGAGTCGTTTGCTGGCGGTGCGTGGGGGGGGGGTCGAACCGGTAGTGACCCCCCTCCGGTTTTCGAGGGGGGGGGGGGGTCCAACCGGTAGTGACCCCCCCCGGTTTTCCGGATCCGGAGGGGGGGGGGGGGGGGGGGAGGGGTTCGAACCGGTAGTGACCCCCCCCCGGTTTTTTCGAGGGGGGGGGAGGGGGGGGGGGTTAGGGAGGGGGGGGGGGGGAGGGGGGGGGGGGGGGAGGGGTTCCAGCAGGGGGGGGGGATTTTCGGAGGGGGGGGGGGGGGGGGAGACCCCCGGGCTCCGGAGGAAAAGGTTGGCAATTTTCCTCAGTAAAGCGGCGGTGGATCACGCTCTCTCTCTCTCTCTCTCTCTCTCTCTCTCTCTCATACATATATATATATATATATATATATATACCGGGCTACAGGGCCCGGGGCTCCCTGGCCGGGACCGCAACCCCCCATGGCGGGATCGGGCCTCCGGGAGCGCCCTTGTCCGGTCCAAGAGGCGCCGAAGACGGTCCAAGCGTGCCTCGAGACGCTTACGATCGATCCAAGACGCCCAAGATGGTTCCCAGACGGCCCAAGAGTCCTCCAAGATGTCTCAAGAGAGCCCCAAGAGCATTCCCAAGAGGGCTGCAAGAGGCCGAAATCATGGGATTCCGTCGGTTTTTTACAGTTTTTTTGTTTTTTTGTTGTTTCGTCGTCCCGACCCTCCACGACAGCTCACGAAGCCCCCAAGACCGTCCCAAGATCGCCCAAGAGGCTCCCAAAAGCGCCCCATGACGGCCCAAGAGGGCCTAAAAGCAACCCGATAGGCGCCTAAGACCGCCCAAGAGCTTGCAAACACGGCCCAAGAGGCGTCGAAGACAGTCAAAGCGTGCCACGACGCGCCTCAGACCGCTCCAAGACGCCCAAGATGGCTCCCAGATGGCCCAAGAGGCCTCCGAGACGTCCCAAGAGAGCCCCAAGAGCATTCCCAAGAGGGCTGCAAGAGGCCGAAATCATTGAATTCCGTTGGTTTTTTGCAGGTGTTTGGTTTTCTTGTTTTTGTCGTCGTCCCGACCCTCCAAAACAGCCCACGACGTCCTCAAGACCGTCCCAAGATCGCCCAAGAGGCCCCCCAAAGCGCCCCAAGACGGCCCAAGAGGGCCTACAAACAACCCAGTCGGCGCCTAAGACCGCCCAAGAGCTTGCAAACACGGCCCAAGAGGCGTCGAAGACGGTCAAAGCGAGCCTCGACGCGCCTAAGACCGCTCCAAGACGCCCAAGATGGCTCCCAGATGGCCCAAGAGGCCTCCAAGACGTCCCGCTGCAAGAGGCCGAACTCATAGAATTCCGTTGGTTTTTTGCAGGTGTTTGGTTTTCTTGTTTTTTCGTTGTCCCGACCCTCCAAGACAGACCACGAGGTACCCAAGACCGTCCCAAGATCGCCCAAGAGGCCCCCAAGAGCGCCCCAAGACGGCCCAAGAGGGCTTCAAAACAACCCAATCGGCGCCTAAGTCCGCCCAAGAGGTTGCAAACACGGCCCAAGAGGCGTCGAAGACGGTCAAAGCGTGCCTCGACGCGCCTACGACCGCTCCAAGACGCCCAAGATGGTTCCCGGATGGCCCAAGTTGCGTCCAAGACGTCCCAAGACAGCCCCAAGAGCATTCCCAAGAGGGACCCAAACTGCCAAAATCATTGCTTGCCTTCAGGCTTTAAAAGGTCCTTGGCTTCCTCAATTTTTCGTCGTCCCGACGCTCCAAGACGGCCCAAGAGGCCCCCAAGACCGTCCCAAGCTGGTCCAAGAGGCTCCCAAGACGGCTGCAAGAATGTTCAGTTGCCTCTCAAGAACACCCCAAGACGGCCCCGGATGGACTCCCGACGGCCCTCGAGGCTGCCCAGATGGTCCAATATCCCCAAGACTGACCCCAGACACCCCAAGACGCTTCCACAACGGCCCACAGACGCTCCCAGAGGCCTCCAGGTACAGGATGAAGACGCCCCCAAGAGGGCTCCGAGTTTCCAAATTGCTGAAAATCTGTCCACAAGCAGTACGTTCGTAGCACGTCGCCTTTTCACTGCCGATGGGCCTCCGAGGCTGCTGGAAGGCGTCAAAACGCCCTACAGAGCCACCTCAGAAACCCCCAGGACAGCTCCAAGAGCGCTTGGAGGTTTCCCGAGAGCGGCCCGAGACCGCCCCAGCTGGTCTGAAGATTGGGTCTGGGCCGTGAAGATTGCCCCAGAGGGCTTCAAGACGGCTCAAGAGGTGCCCAATAGGGCCCCACGGGAGCCTCAACAGTAGAGGGTCCCAGGAGAGAGAGAGAGAGAGAGAGAGAGAGAAAGAGAGAGAGAGAGAGAGAGAGAGAGAGAAAAAAGAGAGAGAGAGAGAGAGAGAACTCGAATTGAGATTTCGAGCCATCCGCCCCAAGGAGACCCCCGAGATCGCCTTCAGGCCCCACGAGGCCCAAAAGAGGCCCCCCAACGACCCCCAATATGTTTCAAAACTGCCGCCAGCAGGCTCTCCAGAGGCTTCCCAAGAAGCCCCAACAGGCATCCAAGAGACCTTGTCTGAGCTGGCTTGAGTTAGTCCGCGCAATGTCTAATCGGATTTCGCTCAGCGTAGCTTCGCTACGCTCGTGCAAGGGGGACCCCCCTATGCCACTCATGTTCTTTTCATGCTGCTTCACCTTGTTTCACCCAATGTTTCCCCCAAGGGGTATGGACTGCCTGGATGGTCGCATGTTTGAACCATCCAGTATCCTTCAGCTCGGCTGTTGCCGACACTTCCATAAGCGAGAGCGCGCGAGTGTCCACCCATTTTCGCATTGCTTGTATGTGTACGCGTCTTGGTACTGCTTGTTTTCACTTGTTGTCAAACAAAAAAACGACATCCAAGAGACCTCTGCATCACAACCCAAACGCGGTGGCGGGATAGGCTGGATGCCAACAGGCCAGTATCGAGCTCTATATGGATTCTCGAGTTTGGTGCCACGCGTTTCGGTGGTTCGACGCCCAAAGGCCCTTCCCCGGCGCCCAAGTCCGTGTAGAGTGTTTCAAAAAAACTTTCGTTTCAAAGGAATTCAGAAGTCGTCTTCTTGGTCACCGCGGAGGCTGGCCGAAGGCCCGCGGAAGCTGGCGGATGTAAATCGAGGGCGATCTGGCTGGCGGAAGCCAGCGGAACCTCGTCTGAAGCCCGCGGAAGGAAATTGATTTTGTAAGAGGTCTACGTTGGCCACCGTGCCGTCTTCAGGCATGCAGAGCCAGTTGCATAAATGTCGCACGGTGTGCACAAAACGATCCATCGCCCCCTGGAGGTCTCCACACCTTCCCCGGAACAAGCTTTCTGGGGCTCCAATTGAACCCCCACCCACCCCAGGACAGCCCCGACTCAGCCACGATAGGGCCCCAAGAGAAGTTCCGGCCGACGCCGCGCAACACCCGAACAACGAGCGTTTAGAGAAGCCCCAGAGTGGCAGAAGATGGATCAACGATCGCACGAGCCGACATCCCAATGGCCGCTCCAAATGTTTGATGTGCAGAGCGTTGCGTTGCATGTCATTTGTGCTTCATTTATCCTTGCAGTAGTTTGCGTTGAGTTGCAATACGTTGCATAGCCACTGCATGACATTTCCACGATCATGTCATATGTATTCGCATTGCATGCGTCTGTGCGTATACTTGTCAGAATTCCGTCTCTGTTCGGTCCGCGCGATTGCTACCTCTTCACTTCATGTGCGAGCAATTTGTGTTTACGTGCACGCGTGCATCTGTGAGCTTGTCAAGGTCTGGTGGGTGCTAGAACCTAAGCGTGCGCGAAGCGCGCGCGTTGTTCTAGTCTATATATATATATGCATGTACATATACATATACATTTGTGTGTGTGCATGCGTATGCATCTGAGCCGTTCCAGGAAGGGCTTCGCCTTCGAGGGTCGACGGAATTGGCATCTCTTCCTTGACGGAAGGCCGACGGAAGGCGGCGGAAGTAAAACGATGCCGCATCCGCCCACGTAAGTTGGCAGAAGTTGGCGGAAGCAAACATCCACCTCCCAAGCGATTGCAAGGTTTGTTGGTTCAGAGTTTCAAGAGGACCCCGAGACCCCCAAAGATCGCGCCAAGACGCCCAAGATGCCCTCAGACGACCCAAGAAGCCTCGAATACCCCCCAGGAGCCCTCCAAGAGCACTCCCGAGAGGGCTCCAAGATGCAACAATCATTGACTTTCCTACGGTTTTGGGATATTGGCATTCTCGCCTTTTCGGCTTCCCGACGCTCCAAGACGGCCCAACAGGTGCCCAATACCGCCCGAATACATCCGAATAAGCCTCCAAGAGAGCGCCGAAATTGCCCTTTCAGACGGCCCAAGAAGCCTCCACGACGGCCCCAGGGGCCCCCAAGACGGGTCCAAGAGGGAACCCAGACGGGAGACCCGAACGGACATTTCAAGCCCTTGGCCTCGAGAGGCTCCCAGGAGCCCCCAAGAGGCCTGCAAGAGGCCCCAAGAGGCTCCCAAAGACGCCCCAAAGAGGGCCCCGAGACGCCCCAATAGTTTCCCAAGGGGGCCCCCTCCGTAGCAATTTTGACTCAAGGGCATTCTCGTTGAAGCTTCTCGGCGTATGCTCCATCATCGCGTCACTGTCAACCCCAAGCATGATGTTTGCTTCATGCAGTCTTAAATTCGCCATCGTTGTCATCACTGTAACTTCGTCTTCGAGTGGCAACAGTTTCGATGCAAAACAGTTTTTCCATGCAAATCGTGACCTGTGTGATGTGCAACGCGTCGATGGGCCATCATGGTTTGCGTCCGTTGGTTGTAGCGGGGAGTCATGTGCAGGAAAAATGCCAAAAGAGCCAGTCATATTTACTGGACTCCTCGGTGGTTGGGGTGCGCTGAACATGACTTGGGACTCATCGACCTTAACCCAAGAGTTCGGTGATGTCAGAATCGAGTATTTTGATGAGTGGCAGCAAGCCGGAGGGAACTTGCACTTGGCGCAACCTGGGGAACCTTGGATCGTATCAGAGGGCGTCTTTACGGTCAGAGACCTGATGGACAAGTTCAAAAACGGAAGCATGGGCCAGCATGAAGATGATTTTTGCGGTGAAGTCGGCCAGAACGGCAAAGACCGCAATGGGATGGATCCAAAAGGTAGGCCAAGCGTTGATTGCGAGATGAGCTTGTGTTGCCGGATGCTGGGTCGAGGCTTGATAAACATACCAAAAGAGTTCGCTGGTGATACGTTTTGGACCGGCCAGTCCTTTTCACTGAGCCCAGAGGGTGGCGGATTCGCTATGCACACGCATGCTGGTGCTTGGCTAGGTCTCGTTGCTGGGGAAAAGGCGTGGTTTGTGGAGCACCCTGACCGGGTGGACCCTGAACAGCCCTGGTATAATATCGCGCTGCCTTTGCTTCTCCCTCCGCGAAGCTGGGCCGAGGAAGTCGTTCAGTTACGTCGGCCGCAATTCTGTATCCAAAGACCCGGGGAAATCTTTTACCTTCCCGACGCATGGTGGCACGCTACGATCAACCATGGAGACTTCGCATTAGGCTACGGCACAAAGCCGATGTGGTTCAACCCACAGTACAAAGAATTCAAGGACTGCGGAGACGCCTTTAAATGCGATAGTCCTGGAGATGCTATCGCCCGTAAGTCGCGTAACATACAGCCAACTAATTTGCCTGAGATCTTGCAGAACCCAGACATAGCCAATCTGAGTAAGTTTGTCAATCTCGTTTCAGGACGAGCATCTCTTGAGATAGAGCAAGGTCATAAAAGAAATATTTCCTTGTCTCGTGCCTACCAAAATGTTGCAGGGCCAAGTGTGTTCACAGCCGCCGCAAGCTTGTGTCTCATGGGGGAAAACCTGTTGCGCAACACCTCTGGGAAGGTGGGAGAAGATGCGAGGCAGTTCGGATTTCGCGTCCTGAGCCAGTCCCTGAGCTTGGACGCCGACAACAGGGTCTGCAAGCTGTTAGTACGCAGCGAGTCCATGGCACAGGCCCGCCGTAATGCACCCCTTCGTGAGAGTCCTGCTCGAGGCCACGCCCTGGGAGGTGACCGGGGACCTGGTCTGCGAGCTGGGCATCCCGAAGGTCCTCGCGGGCTCGCTGATCTCGAAGGCCCGGGACTGCCGCAGGCCCAAGTACGGGGTAGGGTGCCAGAAAGAGGCGACGAGGAGCCAGTTCGCAAAACACGGTCGGTGATGGCGATTGTAACCTGGGTATTATTGTTGCTGTTCATTTTGCGCATCCTGGTCCTCAAGGTTCGGACACGACTGCCGTTTCTTCTTCTTATTCGCAGGGTGTTCCCCCAGACCAGTCCTGACTTTCTTAAGGGCAGCTGAAGACGACGACGAGGGCGTCGGCGGCGGCGGAGACGACGACGACGACGACAGCCAGCGTGCGGTCGCCAGTCCGGCGGCGGCTGTCTCGTCTGAGCAGTGCCCACGTCGTATCGATCAGTTTCTCAGTCTGGCTTGCGCCCGTCTCGCTTCGGTGTCCGCGCGTCTGTCGCATGAAGGCGTGTCCATGCCGAAGGGGTCGGCCGTTTTTGACTGGACCGCAGCTCTCCTCCACGAAGAAGCGCGAAGAATTGTTCGTGAGCTTCACGTGGACGTGAGAGTGTACTTGCGCTGCTTTGTCTACAGGTCCTTTCCGCAAGGCCACCTTGTTCACGCATGCCTGTCGCGTTCGTAATTCAAAATTGTTGACGCTTCGCGAATCCCCACCAGCCCATCCAGAAACGATGCCCAGAGGAATTGCCTCGATCAGGGAAGTGGGCAGCACACAGAGGAAGCCATTATGAGACATCTCGGGATATCTTGTGCCATCTTGGAGGTCATTTTAGGCTCTCCCAGGCGCTCTAGGAGTCATCTGAATCAGTGCCCCCCCCCAAGAGGCCAACATGTGGCTAAACCTTAGTCAAATCAATGATGTGGCATTCTCGCCGAGGCCTCTTGGAGCATCTTGGGTGCCTCTGGGGTGTCTCTTGGGGCCTCTTGGGGCCTCTTGGGGGTCTTTTGGGGGCCTCCTGGGGGCCTCTTGGGGCCATCTTTGGGCCATCTTGGGGCACCCTTGGGAGCCTTGGGGGCCATCTTTGGGCCATCTTAGGTGAGATCGATCACAGGAGGGGGGGGGGGGTACGGATGACAGTCGCCCCCCCCAGGAGGCCAACATGGGGCCAAAACCATAGTAATATCAATGAGTTTGGCTTCCTCGCCGAGGTCGTTTTGGACGCTCCGACGACTCGCGGAACCCCCTGTCCAGGTCCATGGGGAGGAGGTAGGGGGAGGGGTAAACCCCTCCCCAAAGGGGAAGAAGGAGGGGTGGAAGAGGACACGCTCTAAACCACGGACGCCCAGAGGGCTGGTGGGATTCAATAGAGCACCACCCTCTGCGGTGATGGCAGCTCGCTCGATCTCGTTTGCAGGTCTCCTTGCTGACGTCCGCACTGATATTGCTAGCCGTGCGCGTGAACAAATGCTGAGACATGCGCTTTCTTGCGGTAATGCTAGACCTTGCGGTTTTTAGTTCTGATCGCAGTGCCGCAGGATCGCCATGCTCATGGAGGTGTTGGAGACATGGAAGTGGACATCTGCATTCCAACTCCTTGCGCGAGAGTGCCTCAGGCTGAGCTGCCCGCGCAGTGCCAGCAGATATGTTGTTCAAGTTTCTGGTTTGACTGCCGCCTCTTAGTCCGGGGTGAGGTTCCCTAAACAACTGTTGTGTTTTCTGTCTTCTTGCTGTTTGGGTGTCTTTCGTCGTGACACGAACGGGTGGGCCCGTCCACCGGGACAGGGGTTCCGACCACCTTCTCTAGGCTTGCTTGGTGGAGTCATCGTCCCATCAGTTGGCAAGCTGGCGGCTTTCATCATCAGGTGCTTCCTGGAAAACAGAGTTCCCCAAGAGGGCCCCAGGCGCCTCCGAGGCGGCCCCAGCGGCCCACCCCACGAGTCCCACAAGATGACCCCAGGCGCCTCCAAGGCGGCCCCAGAGGCTCCCTAATGCGGCGGCCCCCGAGGCCTCCAGGACGCCCCAATCGACCTCCACGAGCGCTCCCCATAAATCCGAAGAGCCAAACTCCACTGACCAAACTCACGCTTTCGAATGGTGCTCCCAGGCCGCCCAAGCGACCTCCAAGATGCCCCAAGAGGCCTCCATGAGGCATCCCAAGGATGCCCAAAGAGCTTGCCAAAGATGCAGCATTCATTGGTTTGCCAATGGCAGCGATTTTGGGCTTCTCGCCTTTTCGGGTTCCCGACGCTCCAAGGCGGCCCGAAAGGCCTTCGCCAGCGCCCCAAAATTGCGCAACAGGCTCCCAAGAGGGCTCCAAAACGCCCCGAGAGGGCCCCACGACGGCCCAAGAGGCATCCAAGACGGCCCACCCACAGGACCCCCCCCAGAACTCACAGCAGCCAGCCTGGAAAACCCCCGAAAGGCTTGGGAAACGATTGGTCTGGGTCTTTAAAGACTTACAGTATTCGCTGCAGCAGCAGCAGCAGTATAGTCTCTACCTCTCAGTGTTGCATGGGCCATGGGGCCTTCCACTTCGTGCAAGAGGCACGGTGGCGCATACCAGGCGGAAATTGTTCGTCTTTCTCCTTCTCGGGGGGGCCGTTTCTGGGCCCCGCGGCGTCCGTCGAACGACGATCCAGGATCGATGGAAGAGCCTTCCCCGGAGGTCCTGGGTCGGTGTCCAGAGGTCTGGGCATCGGAGATCTTGGGGCGACAACGAACGATCGGCGGATGCCTGCGTTGGTCTTAGAGGTCCGTGGGGCCGTCTTGGGGCCCTCGTAGGGCCGTCTCAGGGGCCTCTTGGGGCCGCCTTGGGGCCCTTTGGGGCCGTCTTCGGATGTCGGAGGCCCGGAAAGGCGAGAATATCAAAACTATTGAAGCGCCTTCGGGGATCAATCATTTTGGCCTCCTGGAGGTCCTCTTGGAGCCATCTTGGGGCGTCCGGGGGCCTCTAGGGCCGTCTTGGAGTCATCTTGGGCCGACTTGGTGCCATCTTAGCCGTCTTCGAGGCGTCTTGGAGACAATCTTGGGCCACTAGACAGTCTTGGAGGCCATCTTTGACAATCTTAGCCGTCTTGGATGCCATCTTGAGGCCATCTAGGGTGAGAGGGCCGACGGGATGTTGGTTGTCCGTGTGATTGGCCGGTCAAGACAAAAAGCCATTTGGGAACCTTTCAAGATCATCTCAACAGTAGAAGCAATTAGAACATTCAGCACGCCGTGCACCCCTGGGGCAAACACAGGAGGTGGTGGATCAAGAGTGGCTTGCGGCACATCCCGCCGCCGCGCTTGGGTTGTAGGTCAGTGGCCTCTTGGATGCATGTGGGGATCTCCCGGGAGGCCTCTCGGAGACACCTTAGAGGCGGTTTTTGGGTGTCTTGGAGCATCTCGGGAGCATCTTAGGGACCTCTTGTGGCTCCTTTTGGGCCTCTTTGGGGGCCCTCACTGCTGCTTCATGGGAGCCTCTCGAAGGCCTGCTGGCGGTCTCGGAGGTTAATCATGGGGCAAAGGGCTCATAATAGCAGGCCGAGTTCCCCTACTTGGGGTCCCTTGGGCCGTCTTGAGGCCCTCTGGGGTCCCTTTGGGGCGTTGTTGGAAGTGTCCTAGGCCGTCTTGGGGCCGCTCCGCTCCGCTCTACGGCGGCCTCGCGCGCGCGCGCGCGCGCGCGCTCATTGCGCGCGCGCCGCCGAGGCGACAGCCCGCCGCGCGGTGTGGGCGCCGCCGGCCCCCCGGTGTTGCACGCCCCGCCCTCGGTGCCGCTGCGCTGGGCGGCCGCGATCGCGGCGACAGGCGGCCGCGGATCTCGCACTGAGATGTCATGAGGGGGAGCGTCCGGCCACGACCACGACGACAGTTACAGCGGACACGACCACGGCCAACGACGACGACGACGACCACGACGACGACCACGACGACCACGACGACGACGACGACCACGACCACAACCACGACCACGACCACGACGACGACCACGACGACGACCACAATCACGACCGCGACCGCGACCACAACCATGGACCACAAGGTTTAAGTGCGACGACCACGACCACGACTACGATGATGGTGGCGGCGGCGGCGGCGACGACGACGACGACGAGCGGACGCCCACGGCCTAATTCTTGACGCCGCGTTCGCCGCGGGCGCCGCGGGCGCCGCCGGCGCCGCGGGCGCCGTTGGAGCCGCGGCCGCCACCGGCGGCCACCCCCCCGGGCTCCCCTGCGCCGCGGGCGCCGCGGGCGCCGCCGGCGGCGCCGCGGGCGCCGCGGGCGCCGCGGGCGCCGCGGGCGCGGCCGCCAGCGGCCGCCCCCCCTGGCTCCCCTGCGCCGCGGCCGCCGCGGGCGCCGCGGGCGCCGCCGCCGCCGGTGGCGCCGCGGGCGCCGCCGGCCCCGCTGGTGCCGCCGGCGCCGCGGGCGCCGGGCGCGCCGCTGGCGCCGCCGCCGCCGGCGGGGCCGCGGGCGCCGCGGGCGCCGCCGGCGCCACGGACGCCGCTGGGGGCCGCGCCGCAGGCTCGGTGGCCGGCGCCGCCGCCGCCGCCCCTGCGGCCGCCGGCGCCGCGGCTGCCGCCGCTGCCGCCGCCGCCGCCGTGGCGGAGGCGGCCGCCGCTGCGGCCGCGGGCCACGCGGCCGGCGCCGCGGCCGTGTAGCCCGCACGGCCGCGCTTGGGCCCGCCGCGGCTGGCGCCGCCGCGGCCGCCGCGGCGGCCGCGCAGCAGCAGCAGCAGCAGCTGCAGCTGCACTTGCAGCTGCACTTGCAGCAGCAGCAGCAGCGGCAGCAGCGGCGGCAGCAGCAACTACAGCCGCAGCAGCAGCGGCAGCTGCAGCAGCAACAGCAGTAGCACCTGCAGCAGCAGCCGCAGCTGCAGCAACAGCTGCAGCAAGAGCAGCCACAGCAGCACCAACTGCAGCAACAGCAGCAGCAGCAGCAGCAGCAGCAGCAGCAGCTTCAGGAGCAGCATCTTGAGAGGTGATCAGGGAAGTGCAGGAGTGCCGCGGTCAGCGGCTCCTCTGGGGTCCACCACGGCACACCCCCCTTATGGATGCGTCGGGCTTCGGGGTGACAGCACCGCCCACTGCGTGTCAGCCCATGGGCGCTCCGTCTTCACCCAACCCAGAGCGGCGGTATGCCGCGACCCTGGGCCCACGCGGGGAACTGCTGGGACTACGGGCGCGACCCCCCCTCTTCAGCTGCGGTTTGTCACTCTACAGGCTCACAAACATCAGCGGCGGTTAGCGGCGACCCTGGGGGACCACAACACGACCCTGGATGCACGCGGGGGGCTGCCGAGGCTACGGGCCCGGGGCCTTCCACGGGGGCTCGAGGTACTCTTGCATCCCGGTGCCGGCAGCCAAGGGCCGTCGCTCGCCCCCCCCCCCCCCCCCCTGCTTGCTCCGTCTTCATTCCACCCAGGGCACGCCCCCCACCCGTCCACCTCCCGCCCACGTTCGGCGGTTGCCGCGTCCCCGGGTCCATGCGGGGAGTTGCAGAGGCGTCGCGCACGAGGTGCGAGGTGCGAGCTGGACGTTGTGAGCTACAGCGCTGGGAGCAGCGCGTGCGCCAGGGGTGAGCAGTGGCAACTCGCACTGTCGCTGCTCAGTAGGCGTCAGAGGTTGAGCTGGTGCGCAACGTTGTCCGCTACGGCGCTGGAATCAGTGTGTCAGGAAAACGGTGATGACAACATGCTCCAGCGCTATTGTCAGAGCGTGGGAAACGAAGTTGGAGCCCGCTCTCATCAGTTGCAGCGCTGGGATCAGGTGAGAGAAGGGTGGACACTGGCAGCAGGCCCTGTCGCTGCCCAGCAAAATGCGGCAGGCGGCATTGGAGCCCACCGTGGTCAGTTACAGCAGTGGGATCAGAGTGTGCGCGAAGGGCGGACAATGGCAGCAGGCACTGTGCCGCCAGGCAGGCGGGGGGGATGCCGTGGCCCACTTCCTGCCCTGGGACAGGGAGTGGGCCTCAGCCTCCCCCCCGTCTGCCTGGCGGTGAGCGCGACCCTGCTTGGTCACCTCTCTGTCAAATACAGACTCATGCGGCGATCAGCTGCGACCCCCGAGGACCACCCCCCCCTGTCTTGTCACACTGCAGGCTCACATCAGCGACGGTTTGCTGCGACCCTGGAGGGCCAACAATCAGAGACACCCACTATCAAATAGAGATCATAGCGGCGATCAGCTGCGACCCCCGAGGACATGAAAGAGAGATCATAGCGGCGATCAGCTGCGACCCCCGAGAATGACCATGGCCCCTGTCCCACGGATTCGGGGCCAGGCTGAGGGGAGAGGCGTTGCTTCCCCTCGCTTCTCCCTTCTCGGGCCAGGCGGGTGTCCCCCGCCCTTGGCCCCGGGGCCCGCCTGACGTACTGCAGACGTCGGTGTGGTGGCCCCCCCCTCCCAGGGCCGCCCGTGTTCCTCGCTGCCCGTGGTCTGGCTCATCAGTCTCAACGGCGGCTAGCTGCGGCCCTGGGGGACCACGTGGTGTGCGCCGGCGTTCCCCGGGTCTCGGGCGGAAGTGCCAAGCGGCGGGGTGGGTCAGACTTTGCCCCCTGGCCTTCGTGTCTACCGCAGTGCAGCTTCCCCAGGCGCATCGCCCTACGACATCGGCTCGCCCCCTCGCATCGGCGCCACTCGCCTAAGGGCATCGATTCGCCTTGCTCGCACAGACGCCACGTGCCTAAGGAGGTACAGCCAGGTCTGTTCAATTGGGGATTCGTTCGTCCCCGGTTCAGTTTGGCGTCCTCCAGAAGGCTGCACTACCACCAGTGCCGCCCCCCCCCCCCACCACGCCAGCTGGTTTCCCCCCCCCTTCACTCTGAGGCCTGGCGCCGTGCGGGCACGCACTGCGTGGCCCACAGTCGCTTGGTTCCCCCTTGCACTGTGGGGCGGTCTGGCGGTTGGTGGTATCGCCGCGGAGTGGTTCAGCCTTCCGCAGCAGCTACAGCACCCCAGGCTCACCCCCAGCTTCCGGCAGATGGCGTTGCACCACGTTCCGCGACAGCTCAGCCCCCCTAGCTAGCACACGTCGTCCAGAGCGTTTGGAGCCTGGCGCCCCACCGGCGACTCACTCCACCGGCTTCGCACTTGCCCCCACTTAGATTGACGGACTTGGTTATCCTGGTTCACGTCTCATATTGTGGCAGGCGCCGAATTTCATTACATTTTGTCTGTGCACGTGCTCGAGCTCTCAGGACACCCCTGCCGTCAGCTGCCCTTCAGCTTCGCGGCTGCTTTGTGAGCAGGCCGGCCGTGCCTGTTGTAACTAATTCGCCTCGTTCGTGCCCCGGACTTTGCTTCTCGCCGCCTGATGGTTGTCCCGCGGCCGCGACCCAAAAAATAATCCCACAAGCCCATCCAGAAACGATTACCAGGCGAGTTGCCCAAGTGAGGGAAGCGTAGCAGTATACAGCAGCGACGGGAACACATGTTGAATGATTTAACATCTGTTCCGATGCCGAAGACAGTTTTTGAGCGCCTTGGGTGCCTCGGGGATCCTCTTGAGGCCTCTTGGGGGTCTCTTGGGAGCATCTTGGACACCCCTTGGGCGCCTGTTGGGGCCGTTTGGGCGCCTCTTGGGGCCTTCTTTGGGCGCTCTTGGGAGCTTTAAGGGCGCTCTCGGAGCCATCTTGAAAGACTTCGATAAAAGAAGAGGAGGGTTGCAATTAGCATTGCTCCTCGAGAGTGCCTAAAATCGCCTTTTGGGGCGCTCTTGGGGCGCTCGTGGGCGCTCTTGGGACCGTCTTGGAGGCCTCTTAGGCCCCTCTTGGAGCCCTCTTAGGCCATCTTGGAACCATCCTGAGGCCTCGGACATCGGAAGCGAAAAGGCGAGAAAGAAAACAGCATTGATGTTCTCTAAGTTTTGGAAGGATTTTGGCCTCTTGCCAGCCTCCTCGGGAGGCTCCGTGGCCACCTGGAGCCGTCTTGGAGCGTTCTCAGGGCCTCTTGGAGCGTCTTTGGAGCCATCTGGATGCATCTGGGGCTGTCTTGAGCCTTGGAGGTCATCTTGGGCTCTCTCAGGCGCTCTTGGGACCGTCTTGGGCCATCTTAGTTGCTCCAGCCCCTCGCGGAACCCCCCGTCCAAGTCCAGGGGAAGGGGTAAGGGGGAGGGGTAAACAAGAGGAAGAAGGGGGTTGGAAAAGAAAGCTCCCTGGACCACCTACGCCCAGAGGGCTGGTGGTATTATCTGTGCGGCTGCCCGCGTTCGCGCCCGTTCGAGTTGTCAAGCGCTGAGCGAGCGGTCGTGGTGCCCAAAGGGTCGGGAGTCTGGCCAGCGTCGTCGTGCGGCCAGCCGTCCCTTCATCCCCACGCTTACGACGGTCAGGGCCACGACTAAGGTGACGGCGGCAAAGCTGGCGGCGACGACGACGAGGGGACGGCCAGGCCCCCGTTGCATGGGTGCGGATGCCCGCGCGCGCCCAGTCGGCCTGTTAAGCGCTGAGCGATCGGCCGTGCTGCCCGAGTGGTCGGGCGTCTGGCCAGCGCCGTCGAGCGGCCGGCCTTGTCCCCATCCCCTGACCTCTGCGATGTCGATGTCACAGCGCTTGGAGCTCTTTCCCTGGACCGCATTCGGTTACACTGTGCTGCATCGCTTTGGTTCACGCTTCCTCAGAAGCACGCGTCGAGAGGCGACTACGGGGGCACCACGCTGGCCGCCGCGGCCCGGTCCCCCCGGCGGCGGCCCCAAGGGGGCCGCGCCCATTGCCGTTGCAGCGCCGCGCGGTGCGCGCGGCGGGCGGGCTGCGCCATCCCCCCCTCCTTTCCTGCCTCCCCTGCCCCCCCTCCCTCCGCGGACGCTGTCGTGTCGTCTCTTCGTCGTCGTTCCTCTTTCTCTTGCCACAGGGCCCCTTTCAGCTTGTCAAGAAAAGTGTTGCCCGAGTGTTCGGGCGTCTGGCCAGCGTCGTCGAGCGGCCAGCCATCTCCACAGTCCCTGACATCCGCGCAAGCAAGCATGCAGAAGCCGAGCATCTGGACGGACGCGTGCCAGAGCGAGGGGAAGAGTTGGTGGTGGGACGGTGGCATTGGCGGTGTCGCCGTGCTCGTGTCCTGCAGAGGCCCTCATGTGGGGCCTTGGTGGAAGCAGGGACCAGGGTAAAAGTGGGAGGCGAAAGAAAGCCTCCCCCTCCAGGGCGCCCTGCGCTGCGACTCCGCCTCGGCGCGCATGGCTAGGGGAAGAGGAGGGAGGAGGGGTGGAACATACAGAAACATACACATATGCTCAGGTGTGTTGTGACAAGTTGTGCGCTGCAGATGCCTAATGTTGTCTTGGTCGTCCGCGTTGACGCTTGAGAGCCCAAAAACTTCGGCGTCCCCTCATCACTGCACAACAAAAGCGTCTGGAGCTTTTGCCCATTATCGGTCTTCGGGAGGGCCTCACAAGGCTCCAGGACCGTCCAAAAACGAATCGGGACGAAGAATCGGCTCCCAGGAAGGCGTCCAGATCTCTGAGGAGCCATGCTGCAAAAAAAGTCCCGACGTCGGATGTCTGGGTCTCCGCGGCTGCGCGCGCGCCCGGTCGGCCGGTCGGGCGCTGCCCGAGGTCTTGTCGCTGGGCTCGCGCTGCCTGGTGGCCCGGGCGCTGTCCGACCTGGGGTTTCGGCGTTACGCCGGGCCGCTCGACTGGGTGTACTCGAACACGGAGATGGTGTGGGCTCAGACCGAATGTCGAGGATCGAATATCGCCGGGCGGGGCTAGGACTGGGATAGATCGCTCCAGAGCTCTCAAGAACGCCCTCATGACTTTCAGGAGCGCTCTGGAACGGCCGCGGCGCCCGATACATTCTCCTGAACCGCCGGATCCCAGAGAGGCCCAGAGCCTCGTCTTGCATCGAAGATTAAGGGGTCTGGATTTTTCCACTGGAAGACGGCAACGTGTCCTGCATCTATATGCAGAGATGTCCAGCTGTTTGGGGGCTTGGCCATACATTGGGGATGCGCCTGGCCGTTGTGCGGATGCCGTTCTAAATGGCGGATGAGTCAACAGGATAAGCCCGCATTCACGATTGAAGCAGGCTGTCACATTCGCGTATCACACTTAACATGGTCGGTGCAGAAGTTTGTTCAAATGCCGTTGCCTGGCTGAGCACTGTTCGCAACTACGTCTCCAGAGGGATGTACTGCAGTCAAGGCTAGTAATTTGGAGGGCGTTAGAAAAGAGTAATAGGGGTACTCGAGGGTCCTTCCTCCCCTGCCATGGTGTGATACTTCCGCGCGTCCAGCGCTCCACCCGCTCCATGACATTCCTTCCTCATGCGTAATTTCTGGCTTAATCTCTGCACGGTATCCTCTCCCCCCTCATGAGACCTCCTGTTCCTTGGACTTGCCCCGACTCCTCATCTACTGATCCACCTCGTTCCCCCTCCTCATCGAGCAGTCCGTCCGCCGCGTCTCCTCCCCTCCTTCTCGTCATCCTTTCCCGCCTCCTCTGCTTCAACCTCCTCCTCCTCCTCCTCATTATCAGCATCATTCCGCGACCCTCCGCGCACGGGCGCGGGGGTCCCGTGACACCGAGGGGTGTGGGGGGCTTGTCCTTTAACGAGCGGGCGGTGGCGGCTGGTGGGCACCTGCCGCACTTCACAGCTGCGTCCTGGCTTGTCGGTTGCGCTTCGTGCCCTGACAGTGCGACCGATGACAGCGCCCCCTTCGGAGGCTCAGGCGGGCGCGAATATGCATCTCTGCAGAGGTGCCGACGTGGAGAGGTTGCGCCGAAGCTGGGGCATCCCCCAGTTCTCCAAGAAGTATTTGGCAGGGCTGTTGAGGCCCACGGCAGACTCGCCAAGCTCTCCGCCACAGCCAAGGAGCGCTGAGACGCGCCAGTGAGGCGGAACCACCCAGCGGGCATCGCAGGCAGGCTGGGCGAATTCGCTGCCTTCGCAGCGTCACCCTGTCGTCCGACACGGCGCGAGAAGTCCTCGTCGTTTTCTTGGGGCATTGCTCGGGTCTCTGGCGGCCGGTCGTGCCGATCCCAGCACCTTTGGAGCGTTCCGAGGCCGGAAAGCGCTGAGAACCAACGAACACGCCCGCAAACCGCGAAAGCCTCGAACTTGGAAGCAGAAGCAGGCTGCCGCGCCAGCCTCGGCCATGGGCCCGTAGCTGAATGGCGCCCGTCGGCCTCGCGAGGCCATGCAGTGCCCCCGCGCCCAGGCAGGGTCTGGCGCGAGCGAGGATCGCTCCGAGCTCTGGCAGGGCCGCGGCCCTCGAGAGGGCGATGCGGGGATTCGTCCACAAGCGCCGCCAGGGGGATGGATCCTCCAGGACTTCGCCATGTGCTACAAGCTACAGGAGGTTGACCAGGAAGAGAAGGAGGGGGAGGAGGAGGAGGAGGAGGAGGAGGAGGAGGAGGAGGAGGAGGAGGAGGTTGAGGAGATAGAGAGAGAGAGAGAGAGCGAGAGAGACAGAGGGAGGGAGGAGCGACGCTCCAGCAGGGCGCGCAGGGCGGGCGGAAGCCGTGGCTCGCCACGGCCACTCCTCGGCCGCTCGGTGGGGCGCAGCGTGATCGATGGAGAAGAGCCGGGGACCAACGATTCATCATCGGGCCTTGGTACGGAGAAGAAAGCAGCAACGGATCTTTCATGGCCCAGGTGGGCGGTGGATATGGAACTACTGGGGCCCTGGAAGGGCCAAAGTATATCCATGTCAGCCGCCGACGTCCCCGAAGATGGTTCCCCCAGGCTGTGGACTTATGGATTAATTCCCGCCTTGCAGATAGCGAAGAAGAGAAACCGCATAAACATGAACGTTCGACGGTCCGCGCGGATTTCTTTTACTTGCACTGGACCGCCCTGGCGGCGCATTCGGCGCCGCCCCTGGCGCGCCCCGCGGCGCCCTCGGTGCCGCCACCTGGCGCGCGATCCAGCGCATATTCAAGAATCTGCGCGGACCGTCTAACATTTTTGTTTGTGCAGGTTTTCTCTAACGTCGCCGCCCTGCAGAAAGGGACCTCGTAGGGCTCTCTGAAGTCTTTCCACACCATGAACTGCAGGAGTCACAACTACAGAGCTTCCCAAAACATTCTCAACAACGCAGAATTGGAAATGCATTCGTTCAGTTTCAACAGGAAGCCGGTTACTTCAAGTGTCTCGATCCCCCAGGTGGTAGTTTTCTGGATACGTCGCCGCCTCGCAGACATGGGCGAGCGCGCGCTTGGCACAGAGGGGGCATGTCCGCGGGCCTTCCACGGCGCTGCAATCGATGCACGGCGTTGCGCGGCGGCGGCAGGGCGAACCGTCGAGGCTGGAACCACGTTGCTTAGATGACCGCCGGAGCTGCTCAGGGGACACTGATGGGCTGGGGAGGCTGCACGTGGGTGCCAAGGTGGCTGGCACATGGCCTAACACAGCATGCAGGTGGGTGGCTTGAGATCAGGACTGAGAGGGCTGCGCCCGCTCAGCGGAGCTGTCGAACCCACCCAAGACACCTGGGGCACTAGCAACCCACCTCCAAAACAGCGCACGCCCGGCACGACCCGCCTTCGCACCCACCCCGTAGCAACCTCCGGGGTCATCCCAGCAGGGCGAGTCGTCCTGGCTGGAACCGCGCTGAAGGCGACGGGCCGCCTGTGTACGCTTTCGCGCGCGGTTGCTGACAAAAGTAACCCCACGAGGTCGACCTGGAGCCTTTCCTGGTCCTCCGCGTTTTCTGAGCCGCAGCATAGCCCGCTCCTGTGCGCTTGGTGCGTAATTTAGGCCGTTGCATTGTTGCTTCGTCTTGACGGCGCGCGGCTGTACCGCTTGCGCTCTCGACCAAAAAAAAGTACCCCCACGAGCCCCCCCAAGAAACGATGCCCAGACGAGCTGCCCTGATCAGAGATGTGGAGGAGAATCCAGTAGAAGAAAAGGCTAGGTAAGACGTCGTACCTCAAGAAGGGAGAGGATGGAGGAGGAATCGGAGGAAGACCAGGAGGAGGATGAGGGAGGAGGCGGAGGAGGGAGGGTGAGAGCGGGAGGGGGAGGATGGAGGAGGAAGGGGGAGGAGCAGGCGGATGAGGAAGAGGAGGAGGAGCAGGATTAGGTGTGCGAGCAGGAAGGCTTGAGGCCTTTGGGATGCATCTACGGAGTCTCTTCGGATTTCTTCCGAGAGTTTCTTGGTGTCCTCTTGGGGCGTCTTGGGGGTCTCTTGGCAGTCTCGGGGGCCTCTTGATGCGTCTTAGGTGCTTCTGGGGGGCCTTTGGGAGCCTCTTGGGGGTCTCTTGGGAGCCTCTTGGCGGCATACTGGGGGCCTCTTGGGGTCTCTTAGGGCACGGCTTGGGGCCGTCTTGGGGCATCCTTGGGAGCCTCTGGGGCCATCTTGGGGCCATCTCGGAAGAGATCGATCAAAGGAGGGAGGCTCTGTACTTAGGGCCCCCCGCCCTAGGAGGCCATGACCTGGCCAACACCTTCGTACAATCGACGATGTTACCTTCTCGCCGAGGCATCTTGGGGCGTCTTGGGTGCTAGGCAGCCTTCTTGGTGGCATCTTGAGGGCCTCTTGGGGCTGCATGGCCATCTCTTGGGGCCGTCTTGGGGCACCCTTGGGAGCATCTGGGGACATCTTGGGGCCACCTTGCAAGAGATCGATCAAAGAAGGGGCCGTAGTACACGAGGGTCCCCCCAGGAGGCCAACATGTGGCCAAAAAACCTTAGTAAAGTCAATCATGTTGGCCTTCTCGCCGAGGCGGGGGGTCTTGGGTGCATCTTGGGGGCACCGTGGGGGCCTCTTGAGGGCCTCTTGGGGGCCTCTTGGGGGCCTCTTGGGGGCACCTTGTGGGCCTCTTGGGGGCCTCTTGGGGCCTCCTGGGCACCCCTTGGGGCCTTCGTGATGCACCCTTGGAAGCCTTGGGGGCCACCTTTGGGCCATCTTGGAGGAGATCGATCAAAGGAGGGAAGCTCTCCAATGCGCCCCCCTTCCCCCGTCCCAGGAGGCCAGCATGTGGCCAATACCTTAGTAACAATGGTGTTGGCTTCCTCGCCGTTGCCATCTTGGACGTTCCAGCTCCTCGCGGGGCGCCCCCTCTAGACCCAGTGGGAGGGGTTAGGAACAGGAGTAACCCCCTCTTCCGAAGGGGAAGAACTGGTGTGGGAAGAGGAAGCGCGCTAAACCACTCACACCCGAAAGGATCTGTGGGATCAAATTCTCGCTTCGCGAACTCACCATCTCCATTTCTATTTGCAGTTTCCCCTCCTCGTCCGCGTTGTCCTCGTGCTTCTCCCCTCCCTCCTCGACCAAGGTGCGGTGCTGCTTGAAGGACGGCTTCGCGCAGTTCCTCGAGACGCGTAATTTGGTGCCCTCGGGGTCGGCCTGGGGCCACAAGGCCCCTGGGGAGGGGGGCACCAGCAAAGGGGGGATGTCGTAGAGGGGCGCCAAGACATCAAACGCATTGCTTATGACTGGATGTGCCTGTCGTTTCACTTGGCGTTTGTGGGATTCGCGCATCGGAGAAAAAACGTGTGGGTAATGACTGAAGTTGTTCAAGCTTTCGGTATATTTGGGCAGTGTTCGGGCCCCAGGGCAGTCAGAAATTACAGGTGTCGGGGCGTTGTTGGTGATCCGAACATAGAAACCTCAAGACATCGGCGGATGTCTAGGGATGAGGAGGGGAGGGAAGGAGGGATTGGAGTAAGAGATGAGATGGGGAGGCGAAGGAGGCAGGGAGCAGACGGAATGGGAGGGTGGGTGTGCGGGTGGGAATGGACATGTGGGAGGAGTGAGAAGGATAAGAAGTCAAGGCGGGGCAAGGATGACAAAGGATAGCGTAACGAGAAGGATGGGGTACGTTCATGCGCTGTGGAGTTTGAAACGTACAACTGGAGACAGTGTCCGGGGGGGCCGGGCCGCGACGCCGACAGCAAATTTGGGCCACGGCGGCGGGGCTAGCGGATCGCTCCCGAGTGCGGTCAGACGTCCCCCCGAGTCAGAACGGAACAGGCCCTTGCGTTGCCTTGTGGCCTCTTGACGTCAAGCGGCGCAGCTTTCCTGGCTATACCATATGACGGCTGTCCACCACATCACCAGGTCGAGCAGGCCCTGCCGCGTTCCCCAGCAGCGCTCCTCGACGACCCAGCGGCGGGCGACCGCAGGCCGCATAGCTGCTCCTGTCCAGCCCACAACAAGACGAAGGGCGAGTGGTACCAGTACGCTGGAAACGTTCGTTGAGGAGTGTGCCCAGGAAGCTTCAGACCCTGCAGGACTCATCACCGGATGAGGGCAGCAGTGGTAACCATTGCCAAATCCACGATTGGACTTCAAACGGCTTCCAGACCCTAGATTCCCTATGCAATGGTCTCTTATCCAGCGCCCTCACCGTAGCAGCGCCTTCTCCGAGTTGTCACCGTGGCGCTCCCGCCCCGCGAAACCCAGCGCCGAACTTGCCTCCGCACTCCACGGCAGCTGCGACCGACACATCAGTCTGCCGATTGTCGCTGCGCAGGCCCGCGTCCGCAGGCTCCACCACGGCGACCACGGTGACCAGCTCCAACGACGCAGCCATGACGCCGATGATGTAACCAGACGCGTGCGTCGGGCACCCCACAGGTTTGCAGACCAAAGCTCCTAACCCACTCGCGTCGTGTTTCCACTGCCACAACTCGCGGTCCAAGCTCTCCTCCAGACGCGCGTTAAGCCCTCCCAGTGCTGCAAAACGCAAGTCGCGCTAATCCCGCCCAGTGCTGTAAATTCAAGACGTCACCAAGAATAGCGACCAGTCGTGGTAGCACGGGGTCCGCGGAGCTCGCGCTACTCGTTCAACCGAGCTCGCCAGAACGTTCGGTGGACTCCAACTCTACAACTAGGGGGTGTCCCGTAAACACTAAACAGTCAGATCCCATTGCGAGCCGCCCCTCCCATGAAGACGGCTGCCCAGATGGACCGTGCATCCCAATCCCATCGAAGACCTTCACGCGACGGCCAATCTCGTTTATCACGAGAAGAGCGACGGTGTCTGGAAGCTGCTCCGTTCACCGTGGTATGCGTACCCTGCCCAGCTGGGCCACAAGCTACCAGGTGCCGGTGTCGGCTCCGAAAGGACCGTAACGACGACCCAGCGGCCGTGAAGTGCAACGACGAGGTAACGAATCCTTCCCTCGTGAGAAACTGCTTCGCGCCTGGGCCCAGGCCCACCCTGCAGATTGAGAGCGGGCGCCACCAAGTTTCTGGCGTGGGCCGGCATGCCAACCTCCCAAGCGCCGTACACTGCGTCGACGGGATCCTCCCTCGTCTGCCAAGCTATGTGGGCCTTCACTCGAAGGCACGCCTGCCGCGCAGCCGCATCCGATATCCAGAAGGCCCCCGACTGCGGCGGTTCGCCAGGAGGACCTGCGCATCCCGCTAGCAGCAGAGTGCGCGCCAGGCGCCGATGCGACGGCCCCCCCCCTGGAAGCTCGGCCAGCTCATGGAGTTCGGCTGCCGCGAGACCCGCTTTGCACCGGTCGCCCAGCTGCGCAGCGTAGCCTTGTCGTGGGGGCGCTCTCTTTCGCAGTCCACGCGACCAACATGACGCGTAATGGGGGGTGAGCATTGCGCTCGAGCCGTTTGGCGATAACGCCGCGCGCAGGTAGTGAAGCAAGTATCAGCCAACCCCAGACGATGAGGATAGGAGACACGCCCTCGTTTCTTCTCGCTGTTTCAACGAAATCGCCATGGACGGTTTTCGGCTAGTTTCCGGCTTCCAGGGGTCCTCGCCGGGCGCTGGGACCGTCAAAAAACAGCTCAGCATGAAAAGCCAGTCCCCGGGACCCAGGGAAGGGGTCCAGATCTCCGGGGGTCCACGTTGTGGGAAAATCGCATCGTTAGAGTTCTGGGCGGGCGGTTGGTTGGAGACGGGGGCGAAGGCGGAGCGGGCTGGGGGGTGGAAAGTCCAGAGGGAGGCTGGATTCTCCAGCGCTCCATGTCCCTGGTTCTGGCCGAGTGCCCGACAAGCAAATCTATATAGGGGTGACGCCCAGCCGTGGTCATGACGCTTCGGCACCGTTGTCCTGCGGGCGTGGCCGAGCCCGCCTCTGCTGGGGCGGGCCGGGTATACATTCTCGCATCTTTCGAACGACCCGTGACGGAAGGAACGCTGGCATTAGTTCTGTGAAACCGAGTTTGGAGCAGTGTTTCCACCCGCCCCTACAGTCAGTGGACTATTTTGCTAGTGAGAATTTGGACGCGGTGTGTTCGTCTAGTTTAGTTGAGGCCGTGACTGAGGCGTGGACCTTTTCTAGCTGCCCGTTCTAGAGGCCGCGAGCACTCTCGAAGGTAGGCGGCTAGAACGCTGTCTCCCGTAGAAATACAGGGCTGGAGCGCATTCGTTTTGTCAGCATGAGCGGCTGGAGCAAGTTCCGTCGTACAAATTGAGGGCTGGATCCCGGTTCGTGGGCGGCTGGAACGTTGTTCAGTGTAAGAGGTGAGGGATGAAGCGCACTCGTATTGTCGACATGAGCGGCTGGAGCATTTTCCTTTTAAGCAATCGAGAGCTGCAGCCCACGCCGTGGGCGGCTAGAAATGGAGGGCTGGAACGCAGTCGTCTTGTTGGCATGTGCGGCTGGAAGTATACCCCGCTGGGAGCTTAAAAGGTGCAAGTAGGGTGGGGGGAGGGGGAACGCACGGACCGGGGGGCGGGATTGATGGCATTATATTCACGCCTCGCTCCCAAATGAGGGCAGTCCGCGCGCACTCGTACGCGTGCGGTTGGTCAGTCGGTCAGTCGGTTTGGTCGTCGGCCGTTCGGTCGGTTCGTCGGTCGGTCGTCGTCGGTCGTCGTCGTCTTGGTCGGTCGGTCGGAAGGTTCGTCAGTCGTCGTCGTCGGTTGTCGTCGTCGTCGTCTCGGTCGGACGGTCGGTCGATCTCGTCGTCGGCGTTGATCGGTCGGTCGGTCGGTCCATCGGTGGTCGTCATCGTCGTCTTCGGTCGGTCGGTCGGTCGGTCAGCGTCGTCATTCTTGTCTTCGGTCGTTGGTCGGTCGTTCGCGCGATCCGTCGGCCGGTCGGTTGTCGTCGGTCCGTCGGTCGGTCGGTCGTCGTCGCTGTCGTCGGTTGTCGGTCAGTCGGTCGGCGCCGGAAGAGGTGGTTCCCTTTTGGCTTTTGGCTTCCTCTTGTGTCCCTCTTGGCCTCTTGGCTCCCTTTCGGTCCGAAGTTTTCTGACTGCATGCATCGCGCTTTCATTGCGTTGCTGGAACCGGCGCGCGCCACTGGAGCCAAACAGGCCACCGACGCGATGAGGCTCAGAACATGATGTTGGTCTCGAAACGTTCCCGATAAGACATACCCGTTCATTATCAACAGTAGTTCACTGACTGTAGTGTAAGAGCATGGGCATGTGCGTTCTTTCTACCCCTTTTTCAGCATTCTCCTTCGTCACTCCTCCTTCCTTTGCAATTCCCCCCCTCGATCAGACGGGATGATTTGGCTTAGCGTCATCATTGCTTAGTCGTCTGGGAGGCGGCTGGAACACCACGTGGCTCCAAAGAGCAGGTGCAGCAGAAGCAAGAGCAGCAAAAGGCGCGGGAAGGCGTTGCTCAGCTGCAGCGGGGGGAGGAGGAGGAGGAGGAGGAGGAGGAGGAGGAGGAGGAGGAGGAGGAGGAGGAGGAGGAGGAGGAGGAGGAGGAGGAGGAGGAGGAGGAGGAGGAGGAGGACGAGATCGAGAACGAGAACGAGGACGAGAACGAGAACGAGGAGGAGGAGGGGGCGGATGAGGCGGGGAGGAGGGGGAGGAGCAGCAGAAAGATGGCCAGGGTTCATCTCGGGACGTCCTCGGGCGCTGGGAGCCGTCATGAGCTCCGCCTTGGTCGCCTCGGGAGCCTCGTGGGGCCGCCTTGGCCCGCTCGGTGCTCCTGTGGGGCCGTTCTGGGCCCCTCGGTTGCCCGGCTGCCCGCCGCTCCCAAACCCCGCCGTCGCCCCCGTCACGCAGGTCTACGGGCCCATGCTTGGGCGAGGCGTCGTTTTCCCGCACCACGAGCCGCGGACGCGGGACCGCGAGCCGCCTGTGAACCCTGACATCCTTTCGTTCTGAAGCAAATCAAGACGGAAGCTGATTGCCCAATTTCGCGGCCTGAGGTGGCCCTCGCCTGGCCCCAGGACCGTCGAAGAACGACTCAGGAGGAAAAGCTGGTCCCGGGGCAGGGGTCTATAGACCTCTGCGGAGCCACGTTCTGCCAGGAATGCGGCGTCGGAGGTCTGAGAGCTACCCGCACTCTCGGCCCTCATCGGCGGCGTGCCGGGAGGGAGGGGGCGGGGTCCGGGTCATGGGATCGAAAGTTCTTGGGTCCACGTTAACGTTTGAGGTCTCGGGGCGGATCTGAGGTTCAGGGGGGCGGGTGGTTACGTATACGATTGAACCGTTGCTGTCATTAACAGCATCTCCCGTTGACGTGGCAGACCAGTCTGATAGTCAGGTCTGGCGTCGTGAATCTAATGAAGCATCGCGGCAAACGTCGGCCGAGGACCTCGACCTCATGTTCATCCTTGCCTCTCGAGGCGGATCTGTCAGAGCCCCCAGGGTCCGAGACCCGAAGAAAACGTCTAGAATTACAAATCGCGAGGGCTCAATCCCAGGTGCATGACGATGACTGACCTTGACGACGACGTTGTGGCTGATGACGATGATGATGATGATGATGATGATGATGATGATGATGATGATGATGATGATGATGATGATGATGATGATGATGATGATGATGATGATGATGATGATGGTGGTGGTGGTGGTGCTGCTGCTGATGATGATGATGCTGATGCTGAGTGTGAAGCTGCTGCTGATGTTGATGCTGCTGATGATGGTGGTGATGATGATGATGATGCTGGAGATGATGATCATGATACTGACGACGACGATACTGGTAACGATGATGAGGTTGAGGATGAGGATAATGACGGTAATGATAATGCAGAAGTTGAAGTGATGATGGTGACAATCTTGATAATGATGATGACGATGATGATGATGACGATGATGATGATGATGACGATAATGATGATGATGTTGCTGCTGCTGATGATGATTATGATGGTGATGACGACGAGGATGAAAATCATGATAATGATGATGCTGATAATGATGATGCTGACGATGATGCTGATGACGATGATGACGATGATGATGATGCTGATGACGATGATGCTGATGACGATGGCGATGACGATGACGATGATGATGATGATGATGATGATGATGATGATGATGATGCTGATGCTGATGCTGATGCTGATGATGATGATGATGATGATGATGATGATGATGATGATGATGATGATGATGATGATGATGAGGGTGGTGTGGGTGATGGTTGTGATGGTTGTAATGGTGGTGATGATCGCACTGTTTCGCTGATGGTGACGGTATGGTGGATGAAGGCATGGACCTCCATTGGTAATGGTTCCTTCGGCCGTTGTGGCATCATCCACAATACCCATTACCACCATGATGGTGGTGAGAGTGGCAGATGATGGTGGTGATGCTGGTGACAATGATGCCTTCCGGGTCGGCCTCGCCCACAGACCTCCTGCCGACACGGACGTCCGCCACCAGCGATATTGAAAGTATTTACGCCGATCGTGCCAGCACCGTTCTTGAAGGCACGGCAGACACGAGCATCCGAGGGCTCTGGGTGGTCAGATTGCCAGCCAGTCAGAAAATCAATATATATATAGGTAATTGTATAGATACCTACACGATATCTCTCTATATATATATATATATGTCAGTATGTCAGAGTGAGGGGGCCGAACGGTCATTCACTGTCCCTGGGTGCGTGGCTGAAGTGGGATTCCGCGGTGCGGATTCTCGTTGTTGTTGTTGTTGTTGTTGTTGTTGTTGTTGTTGTTGGTGGTTGTTTGTTGTTGTTGTTGTTGTTGTTGTTGTTGTTGTTGTTGTTGTTGTTGTTGTTGTTGTTGTTGTTGTTGTTGTTGTTGTTGTTTGTTGTCGTCGTCACACCCGCAACCCGCCCCGCGACCCACCCGCGACCCCACCCGCGACCCACCCCGCGACCCACCCGCGACCCACCCCGCGACCCACCCGCGACCCACCCGCGACCCACCCGCGACCCACCCCGCGACCCACCCCACGACCCACCCCGAGATCCACCCGCGACCCACCCGCGACCCACCCCGCGACCCACCCGCGACCACCCGCGACCCACCCACCCCGCGACCCACCCCGCGACACCCGACCCGCGACCCACCCGCGACCCACCCCGCGACCCCCCCGGCCACCCGCGACCCACCCGCGACCACCCGCGACCCACCCGCGACCCACCCGCGACCCACCCGCGACCCACCCCGCGACCCACCCGCGACCCAAACCACGTTTAAGGTACAAACCACCATTTTCGGCGCCTGCGGCGGGTTTTTTTTTTTGCATTCCTTCCAGGTGGAGAGCCCGCGACCCACCCCCGCGACCAACACGCGACCAACCCGCGACCCAAACCGCGTTCAGTTTACAAACCACATTTTTCGGCGCCTGCGGCGGGCATCTTTTGCATTCGTTTCAGGTGGAGAACCCGCGGCCCGAGAACCCGCGGCCCACCCGCGACCACGTTCAGTGTGCAAACCAATTTTTTCGGCGCCTGCGGCGGGCATCTTTTGCATTCGTTCCCGGTGGAGAACCCGTGGCCCACCCGCGACCCATTCCACGCTCAGTGTACAAACCAAAGTGTTCGGCGCTTGCGGCGGGCTGCTTTCGCATTCCTTCCAGGTGGAGGTGGAGAGCCCGCGACCCACCCGCTACCCAAACCACGTTCACTGAACAAACCAGTGCCGCACAAGCGCGGCGGCGGATGACGGGAAGCGCCGCGCCCTTGGCGTGGACCGATTGTTGGTGGTAGAAATTAATGACGGGGTACGGGGCGCACTTGGAAACTGCGTTGGCGGATGACGGGAAGCGCCTCCGGCGTGCACCGTTGGTTCAGGGGCTTAATTTTTTCTAACTAAGGGGTACCGATTCCATCCCGCACCTCGCTGGCGGATGACGGGAAGCGTCTTCGAGGTACGAGAAGCAAGCGGGACGTTCTGGCTGAATCCTTGAGTATATATATATATATATATATATCTTTAACTATATGGGTTGCCGCGCTGCACGGGGATATTTCGTTGGCGGATGACGGGAAGCGTCTTCGAGGTACGAGAAGCAAGCGGGACGTTCTGGCTGAATCCTTGAGTAAATATATATATATATATATATATCTTTATATCTATGGGTTGCGGGGCTGCACGGGGGTTTTCGTTGGCGGATGACGGGAAGCGTCTTCGAGGTACGAGAAGCAAGCGGGACGTTCTGGCTGAATCCTTGAGTAAATATATATATATATATATATATCTTTATATCTATGGGTTGCCGCGCTGCACGGGGTTTTTCGTTGGCGGATGACGGGAAGCGTCTTCGAGGTACGAGAAGCAAGCGGGACGTTCTGGCTGAATCCTTGAGTAAATATATATATATATATATATATATATATTTATATCTTTATATCGATGGGTTGCGCGATCGCACGGGGTTTTTCATTGGCGGATGACGGGAAGCGTCTTCGAGGTACGAGAGGCAACGGGAAGTTCTGGCTGAATCCTTGGGGGTTAAATATATATATATATATATATATATATATTATATATATATATATAGTTGATATTCTTATGGGTTTGCGTTATCGCACGGGATTTTTTCATTGGCGGATGACGGGAAGCGTCTTCGAGGTACCGAGAAGCAAGCGGGGGACGTTTCTGGCTGAATCCTGTTTTTTTTGTTTTTTTGTTTTTTTTGGTGAGTTTTTTTTGTTTTTTTCTTTTTTTTTTTTTGAGAAATATATATATTTATCTTTTATATCTATGTGTTCCGCGCTTGCACGGGGGCATTTCATTCGCGGAGGACGGGAAGCGTTCTTCGAGGTACGAGAAAAGCAAGCGGGACGTTTTTGCTGAATCCTTGAGTAAATATATATTATTATATATATATATATATATATATATATATATATCTTTATATCTATGGGTTGCGCCATCGCACGGGGTTTTTCATTGGCGGATGGCGGGAAGCGACTTCGAGGTACGAGAAGCAAGCGGGACGTTCTGGCTGAATCCTTGAGTAAATATATATATCTTTATATCTATGGGTTGCGGGGGCGCACGGGATTTTTCATTGGCGGATTCCCCAAAATGGCCATTTCGCTCGAGACATCCTCGAAAAATCGAGGTGTTGGAGGCTATCGTTTAAGACGTCTTATGTCAAAAATGACGGTTTCGCTCGAGACATCCTCAAAAAATCGGGATGTTGACAAATATCAAAAATTTTTGTTATGCATGAAAAATGAGCGTTTCGCTCGAGACATCCTCGAAAAAATGAGATGCCGACAGAGGTGTCTTAGAACCTTTTATGTCAAAAAAAACGTTTTCGCTCGGGACGTCCTCAGAAAATGAGCAGGTGGTCTGCCGTGCTCCCGTGTGGAGCACGGCAGACCACGGCCATTTCGCTCGAGACATCCTCAAAAAATCGAGGTGTGGTCTGCCGTGCTACTGTGTGGTCTGCCTGATCCGTGGTCTGCCGTGCCCCACAGGAGCACGGCAGACCGCGCGTTAGGAACCGAGAGGAGCACGGCAGGACCAAGACAAGGAAGCACGGCAGACCAGGCTTTTTTTTTTTTTTTTTGTTTTTTTTTTTTTTTTTTTTTTTTTTTTTTTTTTTTTTTTTTTTTTTTTTTGTCTTTTTTTTTTTTTTTTTGTCTTTTTTTTTTTTCCACCTCTTTGTTTTTTTTTTTTTCTTTTTTTTTTTTTTTTTTTTTTTTTTTTTTTTAGGAACCGAGAGGAGCACGGCAGACCAAGACGCGGAGCACGGCAGACCAGGCACCAAGAGCGCCCTCAAGACGACGGAAAGGATGACCAAGACGAGGAGCACGGCAGACCAAGACGAGGAGCACGGCAGACTATCCCCTAAGAGTGCCCTCAAGACGGCCGAACAACGGCAGACCCCATAGGAGCACGGCACCTGTGGTCTGCCGTGCTCCCCACAGGAGCACGGCAGACCGCGCGTAGGAACCGAGAGGAGCACGGCAGACCAAGACGAGGAGCACGGCAGACCAGGCTTAGGAACCGAGAGGAGCACGGCAGACCAAGACGAGGAGCACGGCAGACCAGGCACCAAGAGCGCCATCAAGACGACGGAAAGGATGACCAAGACGAGGAGCACGGCAGACCAAGACGAGGAGCACGGCAGACTATGCCCTAAGAGTGCCCTCAAGACGGCCGAACAACGGCAGACCCCATAGGAGCACGGCAGACCACAGAAGAGCACGGCAGACCAACAGGAGCACGGCAGACCACACAAGAGCACGGCAGGCAACACAGGAGCACGGCAGACCACACAGGAGCACGGCAGACCACAAAGGAGCACGGCAGACCACACAAGAGCACGGCAGACACCACAAGAGCACGGCAGACCCCACAGGAGCACGGCAGACCCCACAGGAGCACGGCAGAGCAGACCCAAAAGGAGCACGGCAGACCACACAGGAGCAAGGCAACCCACAGGAGCACGGCTGACCACACAGGAGCACGGCAGACCCCACAGTAGCAAGGCAGACCCCAAAGGAGCACGGCAGACCACCGGAGCACGGCAGACCACACAGGAGTACGGCAGACCCCACATGAGCACGGCAAATCCCAAATGAGCACGGCAGACCACAAGAGCACGGCTGACCACACAGGAGCACGGCAGACCACACAGGAGCGCGGCAAACCACAAAGGAGCAAGGCAGACACCAAATGAGCACGGCAGTCCACACGTTCGCACGGCAGACCGCACAGGAGCACGGCAGACCGCACATGAGCACGGCAGACCAAGAAGGAGCACGGCAGACCACACAGGAGCACGGCAGACCACACAGGAGCACGGCAGACCACACAGGACACGGCAGACCCCACGGGAGCACGGCAGACCACACCGGAGCACGGCAAACCACACAAGAGCACGGCAGACCATACAGGAGCACGCCAGACCACACAGGAGCACGGCAGACCACACGCTCGCACGGCAAACTCCACAGGAGCACGGCAGACCCCAAAGGAGCACGGCAGACCACAGGAGCACGGAAGACCGCACAGGAGCACGGCAGACCACACAGGAGCTCGGCAAACCAAGAAGGAGCACGGCAGACCACAGGAGCACCGCAGACGCCACAGAAGCACGGCAGATCGTCGTCGTCGTCATCGTCGTCGTCGTCGTCTTCGTCAATAACGATCTCGAAAATTACGACAAAAAACGATGACAGAAAACGACCACAAACATAACACACAAACCAACCGAACACGGAATCCAACAACAAAAAAACAATCAGAAAAACGACCGCAATCATAAAATGATAACGACGGCGACAGCGAGAACGGCAACAGCGGACGATTATAATGAAAACGACGACCACGACAAAGGAAAGGCACGCGACGACGACGACGGACAAACAAAAGACAAGACAGGCTGGAACAGAAAAAGTAGGCTGGGCGACAACGGGTGAGGGCCCGCGTGGCCGAGAGAAAAGCACGGTGTCGACACCATGATGTGGCCAGGGCAGCAGACTACCTCGACAGACCAGCGCGGCAGGCCACCATTTAGTCTGTTCTGTTGCGTTTATGGGTTTCTCTGACGTTCTCGCCAATACGGTCTCTGACGCACGTGGTGGATAAAAAACGGCGCTTCCCGTTCTTGTCCGGTCAGGATATCTCGAGCGAAATGGCCATTTTGGGGAATCCGCCAATGAAAAATCCCGTGCGCCCGCGCAACCCATAGATATAAAGATATATATATATATATATTTACTCAAGGATTCAGCCAGAACGTCCCGCTTGCTTCTCGTACCTCGAAGACGCTTCCCGATGTCTCGAGCGAAATGGCCATTTTGGGGAATCCGCCAATGAAAAATCCCGTGCGCCCGCGCAACCCATAGATATAAAGATATATATATATATATAGATTTACTCAAGGATTCAGCCAGAACGTCCCGCTTGCGATTCCCCAAAATGGCCATTTCGCTCGAGACATCCTCGAAAAATCGAGGTGTTCGAGGCTATCGTTTAAGACGTCTTATGTAAAAAATGACGGTTTCGCTCGAGACATCCTCAAAAAATCGGGATGTTGAAAAATATCAAAAATTTTTGTTATGCATGAAAAATGAGCGTTTCGCTCGAGACATCCTCGAAAACATGAGATGCCGACAGAGGTGTTTTAGAACCTCTTATGTCAAAAAAGACGTTTTCGCTCGGGACGTCCTCAGAAAATGAGCAGGTGGTCTGCCGTGCTCCCGTGTGGAGCACGGCAGACCACGGCCATTTCGCTCGAGACATCCTCAAAAAATCGAGGTGTGGTCTGCCGTGCTCCTGTGTGGTCTGCCTTGCTCCTGTGGTCTGCCGTGCTCCCCACAGGAGCACGGCAGACCGCGCGTAGGAACCGAGAGGAGCACGGCAGACCAAGACGAGGAGCACGGCAGACCGCGCGCAGGAACCGAGAGGAGCACGGCAGACCAAGACGAGGAGCACGGCAGACCAGGCACCAAGAGCGCCCTCAAGACGACGGAAAGGATGACCAAGACGAGGAGCACGGCAGACCAAGACGAGGAGCACGGCAGACTATGCCCTAAAAGTGCCCTCAAGACGGCCGAACAACGGCAGACCCCATAGGATCACGGCAGACCACAGAAGAGCACGGCAGACCAACAGGAGCACGGCAGACCACGCAAGAGCACGGCAGGCCACACAGGAGCACGGCAGACCACACAGGAGCACGGCAGACCACAAAGGAGCACGGCAGACCACACAGGAGCACGGCAGACGCCACAGGAGCACGGCGGAACCCACAGGAGCACGGCAGACCACAGAAGAGCACGGCAGACCGACAGGAGCACGGCAAACCACACAAGAGCACGGCAGGCCACACAGGAACACGGCAGAACACACAGGAGCACGGCAAAGCATTCAGGATCAGTGCAGGTCGCAGGGGCGCCGCGTATCACAGGAGCACACCAGACCAACACGGCCAATCAGCACGGCAACGCCAGGAGTATAGCAGAGCACAGGAGCGCGCCTTCAATTTTTTCCAGTGCGCAATGCCGTGGGTGCTCTTGATAGCCCTCGACGATTAAGGTCGCTCTCTCACGTGCTCTATGTTGTTGGCACATGTTGTATTGGGCTCAATGTGGTTGCAAAGCTGCGGCAGGGTGTGCGCGGTGGAGGTGCTTCTATTAGCCCTGTGAGATCCAACTTTCTAGTAGGTGATCCTCGGGGCGATTCTTACCGATGTTTATTTTCGGCATGTTCCGACTGGCGTTCTATATGATTTTCTGTGGGTCTCTTGCTTGTCGAGCGCGTGCTGCTAAGACGATCAAGTATTGCAAAGGGTATCACAAGACCCGTCGTGGTGAGGAGCCCCCGAAGGCTCAGTCCGGTTATGACGGTTACTGCAAGTCTTGCTACAAGGAGAAGCATCCTACTCTGTACCGCCAGAAGCAGGAGAAGAGAAAGGGATGTTGTCGATTCTGCGGTGCGCAGCGCGAGCTCAGCGGTGGCATGTGTAAGCCGTGTTATCGGTCTCGCAGCTGCCCTGAGTGCACCTGGTGCAACGAGGAAGACGAACCAACGCTGTGCGTGGCCTGCGAGTCACGCGAGAAGCACCCGCAGGCCGCGGGAAAAAGATGTGCTATGCCGTGTCCGACGCACACTTCGCCTGAGGAACGCAATCTCAAGCTGTGCTCCGAGTGCTTTACATCTCGGATCCCTTGTTCGCACTGCGCGGCGCCGACTCCTGCTGGCTCTTTGACTCGGTCGAAGTGTAGCAACGACTCTTGCGACGGGTCCGTGGTGTTCTGTAGCGCGTGCTCTGGCATGTCTAACGGGCAGTCGAAAGCGAAGTGCCAGTCGTGCTGGGCCCAGGACGGTCGGTGCTGCGTGCACTGCGGTCGGGTGCGAGCGCGAACTGCAGTGATATATCGGAGAGCTTGCAGGGCCTGTTTCGCTGCGCGCTCGTGCGCCGTCTGCCACGGTGTGCCGCCGGCGTCGCTGGAGACCCCGCAGTGCGAGATGTGCGACAACCTCGCTCTGTGGTGTCCTGAGTGCACCACGCCAGGGCAGCGGGCGGCGGGCCTGTGTAAAGCACATTGGGATTCCCCCGAGTGCGCATTCTGTTACAGGACCGAGGACCCCGCCACCAAGGAACCGCTGCAGGTGTCCATGATCGAATGCGGAACAGAGAGCTGCACCAAAGTCGTGAGGACGTGCTCTGTGTGCTCGTCGCATTTCAAGAAGAGCGCGGCGCTGTGCGACGTGTGCTGGAAGGCAGCTGGCTCCAAGTGCATCGGATGCCGTGTCAAACCAGCCCAGAACGCCAGGGTATATCAGCACTTTTGCCAGAAATGCTTCGGGGAGGAGAGGCTCGCAGACCTCGTCCGTGACGAGAGCAGGAAGTTCCTCGCCGACGAGTCGCGGCCGCAGAGGCTCGACGACGACGTCGCCCGATCCGCACCCGCTTTGCAGGTACTCCTCGCTCTGGCAAAGCCCGAGCCCGGGTCCTTGCCGAAGTACGCGGAGACGCCCGAGTACCTGGACCCGAACCATTGCCGCTTCTGCAAGCAACCGTGGGGTGACTCCGACGACGACGACAAGCGACGGCACCTGCTCGAGGAGTGCAGGCTTGATCTCCATCAACGAGACGGCGAAGACATTCTCCAGACGTACCGGAGGACAGTGCTGGAACGGGCGCGCGCAGAGGGCCTGGACGCGGTCAGTCCGCAGGTGGGCAGGTTTTGTGTGGCGCAGTACAAGAATGCGCAGACGGACGAACGATACGTCCATGATGCCTGTGTCGTCTGCTGTCGAAAGACGCCCAAGTGCGACTTGAATCGAGTTCACATCCCATCGTCGAGCAGCGACAAGTGCCCGGAGTGGTTATCGTGGTCCGAAGAGTTCTGGAATGAGAACAAGGAGACGTGGTACGAGCAGGTCGACAAGCTCCTCAGCATTGAACAGTATTTGAAAAAGTTCTTCAAGGTGTCTGAGCGAGCCCAGGAAGCGCGAGAGAGCGTGGAGGCGTGCAGCCGCGGGGAGCCGCACGAGCTCGGGTTCACGAAGGTGGAGGACGCAAAGAACTGGGTCGACCGCGTGCGCCGGTGGGAAGACAATCTGAGGAGAGACATGCGGGAGCACTCCGTTGTCTCTCCAGGTGGCGCTCTCTCTCGTTGTCCCAGCTTCTGTTGTCGTGGTGCTCCTGTGGTCTGCCGTGCTCCGGTGTTCCTGCTCCTGCTCCTGTGGTCTGACGTGCTCTTATGCCCACTCGTGCTGTGTTGCTGTGCCGTGATCGTGTCTGCTGCCGTGGATTGCGTGCTATAGTCGTCTGCCGTGCTCCTGCTGTCTGGCGTGCTCGGCCCCCGTGCCCACGTTGGCCGGGAAAGTTGTCATGTTGTCTTGTGCGCACCCCAGGTGATCCGAATCATCGGTGGGTATTGTACAAGTCCGCAGTACGCACGGATGCGCCCGAGGGCAGCGGCGGAGATCTTCGCGTGAGCATGTGCAAGGAGTGCGCCGAAGCATTGTCGAACACGCACACAGACAGCCGCGGGCGGTGCCGCCCGCGGCTGCGCATGCCCAGCGAGGCTCTCGCGAATGGCATGTGGCGTGGTCCTGACCCGGAAGAGCTGACGAACTTAACGTACACCGAGTGCAAAGTGATCAACCTGGCGAGGGTGTACGTCAGCGTGAAGCGCGTGTTGTTGGACAGGGCGTCTTTCGCCAGGACGAGTGCCGACGAGGCGCCGCGCTATCGCCAGAAGAACGTTGTTGCGTACCCGCAGAGCCCCGACGCGGCTCTGACTGCCATCGGTCTGTCGCCGATGGCCCTGGCGCACACTCTGATCGTCCAGTTCGTGGGAAGCCGCGCTGACGGTATCTGGCATCATCCTGACTTGCAAGTTTCCGTGGCGCGACTTCGAGCAGCATTTCGTTGGTTGTGCTCCAACAGCTGGAACCACATGGAAGCCACGCGACACCATGCCGCATGTGCGGATTCTGGCTTACTCCACGAGTCGATCGAGGAGTTGCTGGACGCGTACGCGACGAGCGTTGGTGGATCCTCGGGCGTTCCGCGCGAGCTCGTCGACTCGGCGACGTCGATCAGCGGCTCAAGAGCTTCGGTGCAGTCTAAAGGACCAGCTGACTGCACGGAAGAAGGTGAACGCGACACGGAGGAGAACGGGCCCGAGGAGGCGGAAAACGCCGCCGTCGTTAACGGCGGTTTAGCAGACGTCGACTCCCTGCAGCTGTGGACACAGGTTATCAAAAACTTTAAGGCGGCACAGCGGTTTAAAGAGGAATTGGCCGCTCTAGACCCCGCCGACTTATCTGCTCGCGCCGAGAAGAAGAGAATGCACGGTGTGAGCATGGCCCAGGCCATCGAAGACCTGGAGAAGCTGTCGAAGGAGAAGATGCGAAAACGTTTGGAAGAGTGGGCGCGGTCGGAGACTGACGACAGAGCGCCCTTGAAGATCACGCACGAGACCACGTTCTTGTCTGCTCGCACGCCGAACTTTTGGGCGTCCTGCTTCGTTCGGCTGTTTCCTCGGGGAGACTGTCAGGAAACATGCCCAGAACGTAAAGCGGCGGATAGTACCGTATCGTTCTTGTCTTCCAATAAGTGGATCCAGTGCTTACTAAAACGAGCAGATTGTGATTACTGGCGGAAGGACCTGGAGTTCGTCGCATCCGTGGTCAACATCTTTATGCGTCGAGATCAGATGAGCAAGGTGGAAGCGTGCATGAGGGAGACGCCCGGCGGCGGCTTCATGGGCATAACTCCCGATGAGATGCAAAGGATGAACGAGATCACAGCGGAAGGTTTGGTTGCCGCCGCGATCGCGATGGGAGGTGATGCGAAGGGCATGAGCGATCTTCTGAGGAATAAAAAGTTGACCCAACCAGTCCGCACAGCCGCTGACAAAATGCAGGCCGTGTCCCGGAAAGTGCGTGGATCTGCCGAAGAGCGGGACTCGTACAGGTGGAATTTCCGAGCTCTTCAGATAAACTCGGGCTGCTCGACTTTGTTCTTTACGCTGAATCCCCACGACATTCGCAGTCCGCTGACGGTGCTACTGGTGCAGGACGGCACGGAGATGCAGAGGCGATTCTCCCTGAACATGAGCGACAAGGAGGCGGAGGACTGGATGGAAGAATT